TCAGTGCTCTCTGGTTTACAATGGTTCTCCAACTGATATCAATCTGTCAGCGGCCTATTTGAAACATGAGCTACCGAAATTATCCATCTAATGTTTTCTATCGAATTCTTGCTTTTCAATTTGTTTCAGTCATTTAAATATATCCTTTCAACGTATCATATACTCTTGCATATTTTTAAACTGTTTCCAACTCTCCATTTCTCAAGTCAATAACAAGGCAGAGAAACGGACTTTTCAGTGCAAAAAAGTATATCACATTTCTATCCGTCATATGCTTAGCTTGAGTTGCAGATTTTTGTACCATCTGAACGAACCACCACCACCAAAATTACGCTTGTATTTCTGTTGATTCTTCATTACGGACGGGATGCCCATCCATAACTAGCTGTCTGCTTCACATTATTGCCTTGAATACTGTTATAATTAACATCATGAGGATGCAATAACCGTTTCAACTGAAGGTATTGTTCTGGAAGTGAATTTGTTGAAAAATTACATGCTGAGAATTCCACACTATCATACATATTGTTTGGAATAAAATTATTATTATTATTATCGACGCGAAATTAATAAATATATCCTCAGAGACCTTCGAATTGTATTAACTGTTTAGTTAGAATTCTAGCACCGTTAAAAAGCGATTGACAATAATTCTCAAAGCTTTTGAATTCCGAGCTAACTATTGGGTATTTATGTTCTGACTAAAAGCGCCAAATATCTTCAGCTATATTCTGTTTCAGGTAACGGGTTATCACAAATTAGAAAAAGTATTTGAATTTATTGGCATTAGTGTAACGTTGAAAGCGTTTTGCTGCGTTACACATTTCTTCTTCGTGAATATAAAATTCTGTGTATGATACTCTAAAAAGAGAAGTTCAATAACAGTGTGCAGATTACTGTGCTAGGCAGTGAGTGAGTCACATCTTCAAGTATAATGATTGCAATGCAACTTAATTGTCCTAACGTCAATAAATCGATAGACTTTAGAACATATGACGCGGTAGCTGAAACTCAGTCTAACGAGTCACAGTCATAGCGAAAGAAAGTAACTGGTTGATTATTGATTTCATTGAAAATTCCACTGTTAGAGAGTAACTTTTGTGGTTCATCACAGTTTCTGCTGAGTTCGAAACCGCCCTGTGTTAAAATAGTGACATCTAAAAAATATCACAAAGTATATGAAAATACATAGAGGAAGAGTGATGTGAAGAAGCAGAGGATAATCGAGATTGGAGAAGCACACACATAGGAAATACGCATTAGCATTCCACAACTTCTTGTGTTGAGAAATCTCAGTGGAGTCGTAAATTGCTTTTGCACTGCCCAAAAGTAGTAACGTTTTGCTGCTTGTTTTACCACATTGTCGTCAAAGAAGTGGCTATGGTAACTCAAGGGTCAAATGGATAACGATGTGGGCTTCGAAGCGGTAGGTTTCGATCTCGAATCCTGGTGGGAACAATATCACTCACTGGGAGGCATGGGTATCCAACTAACGAGCCCTAAACAGGAGAAAACGCGTGTCTTGGGTCCCACTGCTAGCCACTATCCGTCGGTACTATAAATATGATAACACTTCAATTTGCTGCAATATTCTCTAGCATAATAAAAGTTTTCAGCAACCAACAAACGCTGATACACGAAAACAATCGTTCATTTTGCATGGAAATTTCATAAATTATCCATTTCTTCATCATCAAAGTGAATAATTAGTTTCTTGCAGTGCGAATGTCTTATGATCCTTCATAATTTTGTCGCTTTTAAATTGGGAATGTTCACTATTACCGTTGGTAATTAACTGGCCCTAACCTTTAACCTTTACAGGGTTAATTTGCTATTGAGGGAAAAAGTAGTTAACTTGAAGGATGCGGAAGATATGCCCATATCAGGTAAAGACATCGAAAAAATGCGAGGCTTTCTAAACACTCCGGAAAAAAAATCTGAGTATTTGGCATGCGTTTTGCATCAATCTGATGTAAGATGATGCTTCCGGATTGGTTTTTACTAGTTACTAACTTAAAGATAAATTTGTGGAATATGTAAACTGTTTCACTTACCTGAAAAGTAATATCAACCATGATAAAATATAAAATCCATTTGGAATTTATCGATCTGACAAATCCTGTTGTATAGCTGCATGTTGTGATTTTAGAAAGTCGAAAAGATAAATAAGGCTACACGTTTTTCTCATAAGCATCTTAGTAGCATTGTTTGTGTCCGATGAAACCATAAAGTTATCAATGTTGAGGTTAGACATATATTGTCTAGAGTAAAAAGTAAGTTAGTGAATGAACTTGTGAAGAAGAATTTGTCGATCTCGCTTGAAGATGTGTACATGTTGACCTATCCTGTTGTCCTCTGTCATTTGTAGCAGAATAACTTTGGTAGGACGCATAGGATCTTCAGACTAAGATCTGATTTGTTATCTGAGGCAAGTAAAAAGATGAAGTTCACCTGAATGTTGCCCTTCGGATGACATAAATCAATGATTGCAGAGCTTTGACAGTATAGCTCGGAAAATGTCATAATAGAACAATAATTACCTTTTTTCAATGCCGAATATCATAAACATTTATTCATTTATTCTCCCTTCTTCTCAAATTCTTCTTCCTTATTTTGATATTATTGAATTTTCTTCCATTTCCTCTTCCTATTTTGTCACGAAAGTCAGTAATTCACCTTTTTGCTCATTCGTACTTTGATCTGCTTCTTTATGATGTCATCACTTTTGAATACAAATTCCATAATCAACAACAAAGTACCATCTACAGACACCTTGTTTCACTAATATAGGCGTAGAACTTGGGCACTGTGGTAGAATTTAATTCCAAATTAGACGTGTTTATTTGATTTATAACACACAATGATCTAGTATTATTTACTTGATTACGTTTCGAGCATAAATTATCGTTGCTAATAATCATATCAATGTAATCACAATACTATCGACATTTGATTTTTATAGTTATATCACCTTATATGAGTTGTTTCTATTGGTAGCAAGACTTTCCATATCTCTGGTGTATGTGTCGCGTCATTTCTATTATCTATGTTGGGTGTAGATTTGATGAATAAGCGTTCAGTAATCAAACTCTTCCTCACTCTTTCTCTACCTAATTATATTGGACTTGAGTACAGTGGCTTTATCCCACCTTATTGTGTGTTTATGTGTTAATGCATCCATTGCAATAGACGAGTACTTCTCTAGATTATTGGTCTTATTTAGGTCTGTTACTCTATATTCAGCTAAATTCCTATGTTTCACTAATTAGGGTGGCATTGCAACTTACAAATTTCATGAAAGGTAAGATTTTTCAGTTGGCTAAAGGATTCGATTGAACCAATAAAGGAGAATAATCTTATCTGTTGAATTCCATGTGATGAGTGTTAGGTCAAGTACATCGGTTCCATTAGCCGGTCGGGGTCAGATGAATTAGTGAAACATAGGAATTTAGCCAAAAATATAGAATAACAGACGATGATAATATCAATAATTTAGAAAAAACTCGGCTACTGATATGCATACATTAACACATAACCACAAAATAGGGTGGAATAAAGCCACTGTACTCAAGTCCAATATAATTAGGTAGAGAAAGAGTAACGAAGAGTTTGATTACTGAACGCTTATTCATCAAATCTACACCCAACATAGATAATAGAAATGACGCGACACATACACCAGAGATATGGAAAGTCTTGCTACCAATAGAAACAACTCATATAAGGTGATATAACTATAAAAATCAAATGTCGATAGTATTGTGATTACATTGATATGATTATTAGCAACGATAATTTATGCTCGAAACGTAATCAAGTAAATAATACTAGATCATTGTGTGTTATAAATCAAATAAACACGTCTAATTTGGAATTAAATTCTACCACAGTGCCCAAGTTCTACGCCTATATTAGTGAAACAAGGTGTCTGTAGATGGTACTTTGTTGTTGATTATGGAATTTGTATTCAAAAGTGATGACATCATAAAGAAGCAGATCAAAGTACGAATGAGCAAAAAGGTGAATTACTGACTTTCGTGACAAAATAGGAAGAGGAAATGGAAGAAAATTCAATAATATCAAAATAAGGAAGAAGAATTTGAGAAGAAGGGAGAATAAATGAATAAATGTTTATGATATTCGGCATTGAAAAAAGGTAATTATTGTTCTATTATGACATTTTCCGAGCTATACTGTCAAAGCTCTGCAATCATTGATTTATGTCATCCGAAGGGCAACATTCAGGTGAACTTCATCTTTTTACTTGCCTCAGATAACAAATCAGATCTTAGTCTGAAGATCCTATGCGTCCTACCAAAGTTATTCTGCTACAAATGACAGAGGACAACAGGATAGGTCAACATGTACACATCTTCAAGCGAGATCGACAAATTCTTCTTCACAAGTTCATTCACTAACTTACTTTTTACTCTAGACAATATATGTCTAACCTCAACATTGATAACTTTATGGTTTCATCGGACACAAACAATGCTACTAAGATGCTTATGAGAAAAACGTGTAGCCTTATTTATCTTTTCGACTTTCTAAAATCACAACATGCAGCTATACAACAGGATTTGTCAGATCGATAAATTCCAAATGGATTTTATATTTTATCATGGTTGATATTACTTTTCAGGTAAGTGAAACAGTTTACATATTCCACAAATTTATCTTTAAGTTAGTAACTAGTAAAAACCAATCCGGAAGCATCATCTTACATCAGATTGATGCAAAACGCATTCTATAAATCAAATAAACAAATCTAATATGGAAATTTGTCTCATTCTTTAACACTTAAGAAATCATCATCACTTGAAGGCAGTAAAATTTAACTCATTTGACCCATGGCCTATGAATGTATCTATCTACGAGAGTATTCCAAAATGAAGTAAAAAAAAAACGATACCAAATGTCGATTATATCAAGATAGTTGGCTGCTTATATGATAATATCAATGGTATTCAACTCCCAATAGACTGATTAAAATCTACTTTACATTCAAAAAAATTTCTTTTATTTATTTAAAATGGCGAAAACAATTCAGTACATCATTTTTAAACAAAACAAAATACTGTGAAATATTCCCAATTTTTGTTATATATTATCAATGATATTAAAAAGAGAAGTTGACAAATTAGTTAAGGTGTGGCTACATTTTTCAGCATAGATAGATAGATAGATAGATATAGATAGATATAAACGATGAATAGTAAAAAATCACTGGGTAGTTTTAAACAGAATCCCTAAAGCTTTAGAGAATTTCAGCTAAAATTCAAAGTATAACATAGTTTCTACATTACAACTTTAATTTATACATGAATTTCTTTTCAAAAACTGGTCATTTTTAAATAATCAATTTAACTGGAAAAAATTTACATACGTATAGAAGTTGTTTTCTTTGTTAGTACTTCATACCAAATTTTTGTATCTTTAGCCAAACCTACATTCATTTCCCACCATTCATATAAATTGAACAGTCATAAGTTCCATTAGGTGTCCATTCTGAATGTTCATTTTGTTCAGTATGTTCACCGGTGATTATTGACGAACCGGATAAACGTATTAAACGTTTTTCAGCTACTTGAATTATCCTCTCCAAGCTGTCATAGTTCAATGTTTTCAATAGGCGTATTATTGAGTTTCGAACAATTTTTTCATTCTGTAATTTTAATCGATAAACAAAATAACTTCAGACGGTTGGTATCACAAGTATTTTTTTTAAGTATACATTTTATTATCAGGCCAGCAGCTGAAGAAGCTTTTTTTTATTGAAAGCAGAATTTATAAGCTGTAGGATTATAAATGTACCTACATAAGCTCTTTTACAAGCGGCAACTTGTGCCCCATCGTGTGGCAACCAACAATTAGACTTTGGTATCAGATAATGTTTCTTAAAAAATACATTTTAAAACTATTTCAATTTCAGCTACATCTAAATATAACACATAACCTTTGAGCGGGTTTGAATATTTTATTGTAGGTAGCATTTATCCTGCTTGATTGGTTCGCAGAACCTAAGAACGTAGTTTCAATGCTTACTTGAAAAACTTAACATTATGTATAAGATATCTGTGTCCCACCTTACTTACCTGGGTAATAAACATATCGAGATGAACTGTCAAGACATCTTAAATTCTTTTCGCATTATTTAACGTATTTTATCCTCTCAACAATAATGCATGAACTGGTTTATTAATAAGAATTGAGGTCTTCTAGTGTCAGAGGTATGGGTATTTTTCATCCAGTGATAGAAGCACGATTACATCTCAACCCTAAACTCTTAAAAACACCCTAAGCAACTCGTTTTATGTAGATATCCATCCCTTGGGTTCTGAAGTCATGCAAAACTAAACCATTTTCTTTTTCAGGTACTTCAGAAAAACAACTTTCATGATATGAGCAGCCGGCGAAATATGAACCACTTGCATGCTTCCAGTAGGATATGAAATTTGATTCTTTATTACCGATTTCATGGAAATTAGTATACTGTAGCGGCCTAAGTATGAACAGTTGTCCCAAAATGATGTGAAGTAGTACTTCTTTATAGATGTAGATAGCCTTAATTCTCCTAAGTTACATTCTGTGTTGCACGAGTCAAACTTTTCAGCAGGTCATTATAAGGTTTACAGGTGCCTTGTTGAAAGTATAGAAATATGTCTTGATTGTAATGTGTTCTCTGAGCTGTACTGTTAAATCATGGAGGTTTCATTGACTATCTAGACAACATCTCTTCATGAGTGATTCAGTGGTTTGCTCTGGCGAACTGCTTTGCGATTGGTTGTTCCATCCTATTGTTGTGTGATTGACTGCATAGATTTTCTTGTTGACTATGTCTCTGCTTGATTTCTCACCTTTCCGTTGTTAATCATTTTTCTGTCACTTGATAGATTGAGTGTATGTCTATATATCTGTTGATTGCTGAGTGACTGACCTGAATGTCAAGCATCTACGAATTCTCTGATATTCTTTACATTTCCCCTCTCCGTCCAAGATTTCTACATTACCAAAATTGAATTTATGTCCATAATTATCCATGTGCATTGAAATAAGTGATGAAATGCCGTGTGTGACGTTTAATAGCCAATTGGTGTTCATGTAAACTTTGTTCAATGTAGTGTTGACTACACTTATTGCAGTTGATTTTGTAAATGATATTTGGTTTGTCTTCTTTGACTGTTGCATCCTCTGGTCTGCATAATATGGTTTGAAGGGAATTTGTTGGTTTATGTGTCACACTAATTCCAAAAATTGTTTGAGTAATCTTGTCGTGTTCTCTGATATATTCTTCATGTACGGTACGATGATCCAATTGTTTATTTCTGTTGATAACTTTTTAGTTGGTGATGTATGGGATACGCCATCTTTTGATCAAGTTTTGTGTGTAGCCGTTCTTTTTCAAAACGATGAAAGCTCCACAACTAAACAGCCCAGCTCAGAGAACACAATGCAATCAAGATCACACATCTGAGTTACAGATATTCTCCACCATGAAAATCTGTTCTAAGTTTTCACTATAAGGAACACTGAATGCTTAATTGGAGGAAATGTTTCGCAGTCTGAAATTCAGTTAGTTGGCATATTCAATCGTAGATAGTTTAGTTCTTCACACTCTTTACTTCACAGTCACGGTAAGTGTGATAGACTACAACCTGATGAATGTAGTTTTTCGTAACAAAATGATTAGACATGATTTATATATACCAAAGAAAAGTTTGTGCATTGTGGATTGGAATGGTGTGTATTGATCCATGGGCGGCAATTTTTCTCGAAAAAAGAACTTTTCATTTTGCCTAAAAAATTGCTTAGATTGATTCATACAGGTGTAGGGATCAAGAAAATCTGATGAATTCCACCAGTAATTCCCAAATACGCTGTTCCTTTGTATGGGTTGCATTCATACAAAAATGCTGGTATCCCCTCTATTATCATTATTTGATAATATACATAGTGACGGATTTTGTAAGAAACTGTGGTCTACTTTTGAAGTTTACCAATGTCAGCCTCGGTTTTGATCATCTACAGGTAAGGTTTATTATTAATTTAATGGCTTTGTGTCAAGTGGAATAAAAGAAGTCAAGAAACTCTGGAATAAATAATGACCCTGCTTCGTAAAATAACTCAGACTTTATTCAAAAGAGAGAACATCATAGCACAACAACTACACGCAGAAATGAAAGTTACTTGATGTCTTTGCGGAAAGAAGAACGATAACCTAAGAAAATTAATGCAAAGATGCCTATATTGTTTATCACCAACTACGAAATTATTTGGGAAAGTTAGCAAATAGGTCATCCTGCCATACCTAAAAAATAGATCAGAGACCATGGTAAGATTACTCAGACAATTTTTGGAATTAGTGTGACACATAAACCAACAAATTCCCTTCAAACCATATTATGCAGACCAGAGGATGCAACAGTCAAAGAAGACAAACCAAATATCATTTACAAAAACAACTACAACAACTGTGACCAACAGAAAAGGTCAGAGGTCAAGCAGAGAAATAACCAACAAGAAAATCTATGCAGTCAACCACACTACAATCGAAGGAAACAACCAGTCAAAAATCACTTTGTCAAGATAAGCTAGTGAATAATCATTCATGGAGAAATCCGATAGCTCACTTCATATTGAAGTTAGTGACGTTGATGTCGTCTAAAAAGACGATGAAGTCTTCACGAATAAACCAACCAGCTCAGAGAATGCAAAGCAACTAATGAAATAAAGTCATTTTCATACAGACATCATATGTTTACTTAGTTAGACTAAAACCCAGCATCAGTTCATGAAGTTTTTTGAACGTTGGTCTGAGCCGTGTAGGGAATTGTAGGCGTTCCAGCTATGATCTACGTTACAACTCAAGTGGGTGGTTGGAAAGTTTGGGTGATTTGGCGAAGAAATGATGCCAGTGACACAAATCCACTCACGTTATTGAAAGCTCTCTACTCGAACACTTGTGGGCATGTTAGAGCCTATGGTGAGTTGTCCAGGGAGCTATACTCATCAAGTGGTGTCCGTCAAGGATGCCCACTATCCCCATTCTCATTTAATTTTATCATAGATATTCTTATGGAGGTTTCCCTCTCGTCACCTGATTACACAGACGTTGACCCGATCACAGGTGAATTTTCTTTAGATCTAGAATATGCACATGACATAGTCCTGTTAGGTGAAGACGCTGACAAGATGCAGAGTCTTCTGAACACTTTGAGTGGGAATTTGAGAATGTTTGGGATGCGATTTTCACCACCCAAATGCAAATTTCTGCTCCAGGACTGGTCTTCAGCGGTACCGTGGTTAACAATAGAGAGTGAAGTGGTTGAGTGTGTTGACCACTTCACTTACCTGGAAAGTAGGATCAACCCTGGTGGGTTAGTTGCCGATGAGATTTCTGCACGGATACAAAAGGCTCGATTGGCTTTTGCCAATCTGCGCCACCTATGGCGCCGCCGTGATATTTGTTTGTCTATTAAGGGTCGCGTGTACTGCACAGCAGTCCGGTCTGTTCTACTATATGGCTGTGAAACATGGCCATTGAAAGTGGAGGATACAAAAAGGCTTCAGGTGTTTGACTACCGTTGCCTTCGTAATATAGGACGTATTCCGTGGTGTCACCATGTGAGTAATGCAGAAGTTAGGTGTAGAGTTTTGGGAGAAGAGGTAAGTCAGTTGACGAGGTTATGAACTTCCATCGACTGAAATGGTTAGGACACGTACTACGTATGCCTAGTCACCGATTACCTCGTCACACAATGTTGGCTGAGGTGGGTCCAGGCTGGAAAAAGGCCCGAGGTGGCCAGACTAAAACATGGCACCAATGTATGAAGTCTCTGACTGTTGGTTTAAGCCATGTAGGACGATGCAGACTAGGTGGTTGGGGTCCACGGGACAAGAGGAACCAGTGGTTGGAGACCCTAGGTGATATGGCTCAGAACCGAAGTCAGTGGCGCAGATGTATACACACATTATCCTCATCTTAACAACGCTATACCGAATCTCACCATTTTGTCACTCCTTTTTCCTTTCTTCTCATACTTTATATTTCTTTTGACTGCATTCACTTATCTTCATCCTTCACCTCACTACCTTTTTACTTGATGTGCTGATATGAGGTGTGGCAACTCGGACCGTGAGGCAGTAATGCCTGGTCCTATGTTGATAGTGATGATGATGATGATGATGACACAAATCCATCCACACATCATCTTCACCTTAATCATTGTATTACATTTCACTACTGCCTTATTCTCATCCCCTTACTCCTTTCTTCTCGTGACTTCCTGTTTATTTTGATTATTTTCAACGGTCATTTTTCCATCTTTAACCAATGTATCTGGTATCTAAAAGGGATGATTATGTAGTGTGGCAACCTAAACCTTTGGGCAATAAAGCCGATTTTTTCACAGGTATTATTGACTGACTAAACAGTAACGAAGCAGATGATGAATAGAATAGAACTGGTGTGAAATTTAACTGTTTTAGACTTATGATAGTTTACTCGATTATGGCTAGTAAAGGAATCCAGGACTTGCGTTTCGTTCTATTTGGGACTCGTCACCTGGGTGTGCCTGACCCCAGTGGGTGATATTGTTCTTACCGAAACTCAAACCTCGTACGCCGCTTCAGACGCCAAGACGTTTTCCACTAAGTCACTGAGGGACGATAGTCACCTCTTGTGCAATAAGTATTAGGTATTACTGTTAATTGACGTGCTCATAATTCTCCGTGGCCTAGTGGACAATGCCTTGGCGTTTGAAGCGACGCGCACGGGGTTCGAGCCTCAGTGGGAACAACATCACTCAGTACTGGGGTGCAGGTATACCCAGCTGACGAGTCCTAGATAGGACGAAACGCGCGTCATGGATCCCCTTACTAGACACAACGAAGTAAATTATCTTAATTTGTATCCAGGCGTTGTTGAGGCATTCACATAGTAGCTCATATGGTAATAGAGGCCGAACAATTCGATCCAGCAAAAACAACGGAGAATTACAAGCATATTAATAAACAGTAATGTTCTAGTTTTATTCGTGACTTCCCATTTTGTGAGCAGCTGACTTAATTTACATTTGATCACGAAGTTGAAGCTTTCGTACTATTCTTTTATTCCTTTTCCATCGTGAAAGTAAGATAAGGTGTTTTTCAACGTTTCACGTAAAGATGCAAAACTTTCGAGAGTTTTATCCTCTTCCAAAAGTTGAAAATATTTGACATGGACTTGCGACTAGTTTTGGGATTGGCTTGCAATAGAATCCTGGATACGAGTGTTCTCCTATTCCGCGTTTGTTACAAGAATATATGTGCATCTTGGTGAATAATCGTCTCGCAAATGATGAAACTCCAAATGAATTCATATCTCCTAGAATGCTGTATCAACTTGACTATCACTGATTTGCATGACAACAACGAGATATTTGTGTGGTAGATGTGGATAATATCAATGGCCGTGTTTCAGTTCAGCAACGAGAATAACAAACAATTATAAGGTATAAATAATTATGATGAATCAGTTTGAGTAACAGGTGCTTTAAAATCGAATGAAGACTAACAACTGAAAGTCAGAAAGCCGTTCAGAACACGTCACCTCCAAATGTCTGTGAGCATCAATTGCAGTTGTTTGGCAAGGATCCTGGAGCCATTTCTTGTGACATCCTTTCTCTCGAATAATGTCTTTAGTACTTCTAACCAAAAAAAACCCAGTTTGTATACTCATCTCTCACAGGCTTTCACTAATCTGAAAACAGTGTGGAGATCTACTGCACTCAGCACAAAGAACAAAATCTGGATCTTCAAAACCAATGTCAAGTCAGTGCTTTTATGTGGTTAATAAACTTGAAGTGCCACGAAAAGCATTTCCAACAAACTACAGACATTCAACAACAGCTGCCACATAGGCTCACTCCAAACTGAAGATCAGATGGCCAGAAAGAATAAGCAACAAGGAACTCTGGCTGGCTGGCAACGAAGCAACCAAGAACCTATCGCTCAACAAATATGCAAAGGAAGGAAGTGAAGATGAACTGGGCATGCAGTGAGAAGGCCAACTGGGGATGTCATGCGCCAGGCCAGGCCCTCGAGTGGTATCCAAAAAGGAAACGACGAGTTTGGCATCCGAGGCGAAGGTGACATGGAGATCATGTGAGGAAGAAATGAAAGCTTGTGGACAGTTGTGGCTCTAGGTTAAAACAGAAGACTGCAGACAACAGAGTGCAATAGAGGCGTGCTACTGAAGTCCTATGTTCCACTAGGACCCAATGGAATAATAATAATAATGACAACAATAATAATACTCATCTCTCACACAATACAATGAATTCACAGTCTACTGAACAAATTTATGTCTGTGCTCATACATTCTATTCATCTGAAGTGAAGCAAAACAAAATAGTTTCGAAGAAAAGTAAATGAAAAAGAAAATTCACTGACCTTTTGATCAACAGGTTGAAATCGCTTAGCAGGTGATGAAATTTTATTCTTGTTAATTGGTTTTAATCCGTACTCTTGACGTATTTTGCTTTTATGTCAAATTGAACAATAAACAGAAAAATTGCCATTACAATGTTTGTCTATCTGAGGAATTTCGCTTTATTGATCAAAAAGAAGGCTAAACAATTTAATGAAACTACTGAGATCACACAGTAGCATAAGTCAAAATGTGACTCTTGAAAAACTGACAACTCAGTGATCGATAACCTAATATGATGATCCCCATTTACATCATTTTCTGTTAGAAATGACCATCGAAGTAAACCTGATACTCTTCGGTTTAACTATTTAGCTTATCAATAATCATCCTTTACCTTGCTTTCGCTACTATTTTATAATCTAGGGTGACTAGCGAAGTTGGATTGAAAACTTCAATTGCATCAGTATTCAAAATAATAGCCTCCAGATACCAACCTAACGCTCTAACGATTGAGTTAGGAGACTCATTAGGCTAACAGAGTCTAAATTTCATATAAAACACTAAAGGTGAATGAATGATTCGTAATAATACATGTCAAAATAACTTTCAAGCCTATATACGTTGTATGTCGATATTACCATTCCCCGTTCATCATATCTTTTCAGCAAGCTTGTAAGTTGTGTTTCCGCAGTTAAAAAAGGACTATACGAGGGTATTCTGATATTATTTCAACAGAGACTTGTCAGTTTTCCTTAATTGATCCCAGTCCATCAGTTCAACCCACCAACTAGTATTCTAACGTGACGGACAGACTAGTATTGATACTGGGTGATGTTTGAAGATGAAATGTGACTGGATTCAAATCAGAGACTACCGGGTTTCCAGCCACGTGCTCTACCAACTGAGCTATTAGGCCTGACTGCTCATCAGATTTTCATTTCACTTCAATCACAAAGGGTTATGCGCAACTACCATGTGAATTCATGACGCTTTACTACCGCTTGTTGAGACTTACATTCATGAAGTCTTTGAATGTTGGCCTGCCCTGTGTAAGGAATTGCAGGCATTTCAGTTGGGGCAGAGTATACGTTAAATATATGTCAGTACCGAACATTATTTAAATAATGGTTGATGTGAGTCTTGAACTCTAGTGTATCAGTGACTATGGTCGGTTTTGAAAGTTGATCTACTCCAACCCATTGTGTCAAACATCATACTGTTCAGAATACTTGAATACACTCTAACTGACAATTATGTGTGTTTTATTTTTTGATATGTGAAATTGAACAGAATTCTGCTAATGCTTTACACATAACATTATGAATACAGTTTACTTGAATATCATACTTCGAAATGGTACACGTATCATAATTGTAACGAAATCAAGTGAATAGTACCGAAATGTATCTTGTCATAGATAAACACCGTTTGAACAACAAGTGAAATGCTAGAAGTAATGAATATCTGCTCCATTTCATCTCACTATTTCTTATCATCTTTATTAACATCTTTTAAAACCTTGTTATAGTAACGAAAATTTCGCTGACATAGAAAGCTCAAGAATGTATGAGTGACCTTGAACAGTCAATGAAATTACTTCGCAGTTAGCCAACAAGACGCTAATACTTACCTTAGTCGGTAACTTTTTACACAGTTTTCTGATATCGTGTTTATAAATGACCAATACACATGACTAGGATTATGTACTCGTAGGAACAGATGATGGATTTTATGGAAGAAAGTTTTCTATACTTAAAAACGTTTTGATTGGTTAATAAGTTCGCCTTTCTGTGTTCTCTGAGATCGCTACTTTCAATACTGAGATGGGGACTCAGTGGTCCGCAGCTTATAATGTATAAGCTTCTTTGAAGGAAACTAGGCGTCTATCATTTACAAATGATAATGAATAAAGTCTGGGGTTAAGTGACTCGTCCCCTAATACTTAGGGCTCCTCATATGTATCTGAGCTTTTGCTCGACATCAATGCAGCAAAGATAAGCACTCTGACGAAGTGACAAAATAATTTGGCTATAAGAAATGCTACTAGGCAAATGAAATTGAAATTAGTGACTGAATTAGTTCTCTAGGACTCGTTTCAGTCAGTTTGTCAGTAGTCATGACAAAGAGTGATTAAGATGATATCTACTTGTTTGTCATTGAATAAGTACGTATCACATAACCAAAAGTTTTCAACCAGGCACTTCTAAAACATAGTAGACAAAATTTCACTAAATGTGGGTGTTGCATGCATTCAGTCATATAGAGATAAGAAATAGATTAGTAAACAGTAAGACAAACTAACATAAAGCCTGGTACATGATTGCATCTGTCGAAGTTAACATACCGCACAACAGTAAACAGAGAAAAAATATACAGAAAAAGAACGTATGTTAAAGTAGGCAGAAGTGCATGGGAGAATAGAAGACAAATAGATGACGGTTGGTGGCAAACAGTGCATACATATGCACCAGTGTGACTGATTTTTAGCCCCATGACCAACAGCCACCAACCGTTGATTCCTAAAATCTTGATGTCCGATACAAAGAAGCCCACACCTCTTTATTTTGCTTAAACCAACAGTCAGAGACTTCATGGACTAGTACCACCTCTCATAGCCTTCTTCCAATTAAGTCATTCTTAGGCTAACATCGAATGTCGAAGTATTCCGCTATTCGGCACGTCCAACACATATTCAAGCTATTTCAATCGGTGAAGATTCCCAACCTCATCGACTAATTTGCCTTCCTTACATATAAATTTGAGCCTAAAACTAAACTGACGCTTGATTAACATAGTGTTTCACAGATTATTTGATAGGCCATTATGCAAGTAACCTAGAGACCACCTCTTTGAAGTCAACTTTATATTAGGTTTCTCATCAATTTTGTGAACCTACCTAATGCCTAAAAATGTTTTCAAAATAACATAGAGGTTATTCAGAATGCATTAATTACAAATACTTACTGATAAACAGAATTACTTACTTTGTCTCCTTCAATGTTACATCTTGTAAACATAATCTATTCTTACATTTCTTTTATTACAAGAGGATTGAGAATGAATAGAGTCATTGATTGATACTGTGTTCTCGTTAATTGATTTGGACTAAAATAAGATTGTAAGAAGTGGTGTTGAAAATGTGACATTTTCATTGAATTATTGTTTAGGAACAATCATCTCAAAGAGAAATGATGTGACTGACGTTCAAGAATAGTTTTAATTAATCAGTTTGACCTTGATTATGTTTTAGGAGGAAGATGAGATTCTAATCAGGAAGTTGATAAGGTCATTAAAAAAAACTGACAGTAATTTATCATTCTGAAATGTCATATTTCGTTTGTTTAAAAAAATTCCATTTAAAGTTGCTATTCATCAGGGACTGACATACTTTGGAGGCTCATTGAAAACTTGGGAGTATTCAACAGCTATTTTACCCTAGTACAGAACTCCTTAGCAGTGCATACCCATGACACCGCAAAAGATGGAACTCAGAACCTTGGGGTTCCGTAGCTAGCGAACCACCTTTGAGCCACTGCGTAAGGATCCATTGGTCTACATTTTCTACTTGTGTCATTTCGTGAGATATCGTGGCCTTCATTCAATGTAGTCGCTGACTACCTGTCCTAAAGTTTAACTTAGTTTGCTCTGCCGGTTTCGACTTCTTGTAGAAACTTGGGGAAACTCCATCTAGAGACAAGGCAGTAGTGAGGCGACGGTAATTCTAGTTCAAGATTCATGGGGACTTCAACCAACTGGTCCAATGAAAACGTGCTCACCATGGAAATTAAAGGTTCCTGGGTTCGATCCCTGGTGAGGTCATGAGTACGTACAAATGAGGAATCCTATATTAGGATAAAATAACTGTCTAGTATTCCCAGATTTTCAATGGTTCTCCAGCTGATGTTAGTCAGAGCTGAATAACAACTTGAAGGCAATAAAATTTCCGCTGGCCTCCAAATAGAAAAATGTCATTTATTTGTTAATCACTACAACATCGCTTGGTTATCAGCTGCATCCAAAACACTACTTGCTATCATAATTAGTGGACTATAAAATATGTTTGATTAATTAACTAATGAAAAGCAGACAGATTTTTGCATAGCTTGTTGATGTAATGATCCTGTGGTCAATCTGTGTGAAACGCTACATCCATTACAAACCAGCAATTAAACTCCTGAATACTAGGATACTTTTCAGTTTGTTAACGGAGACTATTTTCGAGAATACTTTGTAAATAAAGACGATTTCTCAAGAGTTTTTGGAAATATTTAAGGCCTTATTCCCATGATAGTGTTCGGGCATACAAATATTAATTAAGTGAATCTGTACGTAGCTATATAAAACTGAGAATGAAAATCACTAACGATTATACTATTATACTGAGAAATAATACAAAAGTTGTAATGGACAGTTTCTGAATGTAACATACTTAACTGCCTCACCTTATCTGATCATTCTAGGAATCATTTCTTATTTGTTTATCTTTATATCTCCACAGTGATGTTACCCTATTTTGTATGACACATTTTTTGGTGTCTACTTTGTATTGAACAAAGCAAGAAATCTGTGAGTTTTCACACACTCCTGTAAACGAAACTTTGGGGTAAATTTATCTACAATAAATGGATGATCTGGTGTAGAGTATATGGCACAATAAAGATTTTCACTTTAAGATCAATCATTATTTTATTGAACAAAAACCGGTTTGCTAAACCATGGTCATCTCACGAAATCTCATAGTTAGATAACACATTAACCGATGTTATGAGTTCACATACATTGTACTTGAAGTAAAGGGGAGAGAATGACCCCCTAATAAAACAAGTAGGGGTTAGATGCAAAACTATAAAATGAGCGATTATTTATTGACGAAGTACAGTGGCTAGTCGTGGAATCTAGGACGCGCCTTTCGTTGTGTTTGGGACTCGTCAGGTGGATGTAACTACCTCCCAGCGAATGATAGAAGCAAACAACATTAAATTTTTGAAGGAGGTGTGAAGATTTGGAAATATTTCAAGTTGTTATCTATCGTAAACTGACATCAGTTGGAGGAACAAGAGAAGCCTGAGAGCGCTGGACAGCTATTTCGCCCTAGTATAGGACTCTTCAGCAGTACGCACCCATGACGCCACCAGGGATCGAACCCGCGACCTTAAGGTTCTGTAGCCAGCACGTTACCATTGAGCTAGCCGCTGGGTTAGAATTCAATGGCCCACATTTTCAACTTCTGTTAGCTCATGACAGCGCAACCGCCACCCAATATCACCGTTGAGTAACTGTAATTCGATCCCTGGCGGGGTCGTTGGTGCGCACTGCTGAGGAGTCCCGTAGTAGGACGAAACGGCTGTCCAGTGCTCCCAGGTTTCTTTTGTTCCTCCAACTGATATCAGTCTACGATGAACAAACAACATTAATAAGCGATTACTGTTCACATATATATGAGCATATATGGAATGCGACTAAATAAACTCATTGTCGATTATTTAGATTGAACTCAACTCTAATATGATGGGTATCGATATAAATAAAACGCTTCTAGGAAAGTGTAATTTACTCTATCATCACTATTCTTATATTTATTACTATGTGTTTCTTTACATGAAGACATCTACTGTAAATATTCTGTAACTTCATTTCCTTTGCCTTCAAAAGTTACGTATCATTTATACAGTGAAACCTAGTAAGGTATTGCAAAGCATATTAAATCTTTAATAAATAATTGAATATATCTTCTGCATCACTGACATCGTACCAGCAAAGAAGACTACTTGAAAAATCAATTAATCAACTAAAGTGGAATGCCTCCCGGGTTAAGAAATTTAACCAATCACATCAAGACAAACTTCATATTAACGAATCATATCAGTATGAGTTACAGGATTGCATCCAAACAATAAAGCTAATTAGTCACAATCAAGAAGTAGTGTAATTCATTCAGATAAAAAAATATCAGTCAGTGGGTCATCATACAACTTTTTTGATGGCATGAACAAGAAATATAGATAAGTCAGGTTTTAGATGTGATTATAAAACTATAGAAAATGTAACTTGATAGTAATTTCATAAAACTGGCAGTTGTGAATGATGAAATGCATTCTAGTGAGGTAATTTTTTTCAAATCTTTGATTGATAAAACTATCTAGTAAGGTACAAAGTCGTTCACCAATTGAATTTGCAACTCATAGAGCATCTGGGTTTGAATATCTACAACCTGATCTACAAGTATATACCATCATTCTGTAAGTTATCCTGTGGCTGAAATGCAAAGTTCCCTGATATCATTTTCTATTGTAACTCAGAACTCCTTTATTCTACAAAAAGGAATTCAAAATTTATAGATTGTTTCGCACTGAAACTCATTAACTTTCATGCTAATGGATTTTGCGTTTCTATGATTATTTCTATACTTCAAATCTTTAAAACAGCAACGGCACCTACTTTTTATAAGCTATAAGTGAATTCATTTGAACAAACGGGATTAGTATAGTTCAGAGAATCAGTATTATATCGTCAGCATATATGCATTTTAATTAGTCATTTGTAATTGTCTGTATGGAGTCTAAGTTCAGTGGAATCTACGATGAAAGTTTCGTCCTGTTTGAAACTCGTCAGCTGAATGTATCTGCATCCTAGTGAATGATGTTGTTCCCACTCAAACGCGACTTCAGGACAGATTACGTCAAATGCCAGATTGCGTTGTCCACTAGGTCACTCAGTCACGATAGATCTTTCTTGTGTGACAGGTATAGTATGGTTTTCTTGATGTCATAACTTGTACATCTTCCTTTTTCATTGAACTGGATTGTTCAGCCATTATTGGCATATGGGCTCCTGTGCGGATGTCCCAATATTGCTGGTATTTTCAGTTTCGTCATTAATGAGTGATATTGGCTATTAATGGAGTGCAAAACGAGCGCTTCTGCCCATTTGGGTCTCGTCAGCTGAATGTACCTGCCTCCCAGTGAGTGAAGTTGTTCACACTAGGCCAGCCCAGTGACCTATCAAACGAACTGATAGTTATCGAATAAATAGTGTGAAAAGTGTTTTGGATTAGAAATCTGCTTTGAAGTGAGATTGTTCCTGTAGGTGAAATTTCCCCGACCGATAGCTGCTACCTTGACGTGGTGGTCGGGCTTGCATATCACAATGACCCAACGAGCTATGCTGGTGGAACGCTTGTTCCCTCGAGGTCCTACCATACCAGAAAGGTCTGTTGGGTAGTGGTTAGACGAAAAGCAGTTACCGTCATAGTGTAAATTGCTACACTATGATGGGGGTCTGAGGGCGAAGTCGTACTGCTGCTAGCTGGATGGGGTGTGACAGCAGTAAGGTGTTTCCCTTGGATGACCAGCAGTGCCAAGCTGATGCTGCCTTCTCAGTGGAAGGGGGGGTTAGAAAAGGTCGGCCCCAAAAATAACACACTCCACCACGCCCCACGGTCTGCCGGGCCGGCGGTGTTGGTTCACTTGTCGTTTCCTTTCGCTCATCCGGCCCCAAAAATACAAAAATTCAAAATAATCATACTCAAAAGGCTGGGTGTGACAGGCCTCAAGCAGATGTCCGATGGGCTCTGCGGTCACACAAATCTCTTTCAGGTACCTTAAGAAGAAATAGCCTTCCACGGTGTGGGCAGCCGGGAAGTGTCAACCGCCCTCACAACTCTGTCAGCACCCAAGTTTCTTCTGACTGCTATCCTCCTCCTCCATCATTACCTTCTAATCTTCCTTCACGTCTCTTAATTAATGATGCTGCATCATCTTCAATTTCTCCTACCTCTGCAGCCTTCGACAACGATCTGAGTCCACAGAACAGTGTCCCTGGTCTCCTTAAACCACGCTCCAAATTACATATTGGAGCCTTCAATGTCCGCACCCTCCGTCAAATTGGCCAACAGGCTTCGTTGGCAAAGACTCTAGCAACTCGAGGCATGGATGTGTGCTGTGTTTGTGAGACACGCATACAGGACCCAAGTGTGGTTATTCACCTGACCTCTCCTGACCAATCTGGTGAATCTGCAAAATTCACCCTTCGAGTTTCTGGAGATTCGATAGCTAGCTCTCGTGGTCTTGCAGGTGTAGGTATAGCATTAAGCACCAGGGCAGAAA